TATGATAGCATGTTTGCATTCATTTCATCTGTTTTGCATTCACCCGGCTCGACGCATCATACTAACTGCATTGTATTTTCAATTCCAAGTTGAATACATGTTAGCTGTAGCATTTCATATGCCATGTCTAGAATAGCCGAGCCTGCTATAGTTGCACTTTTGCATGTATTGCATTAGGCATTTCTGTATAATTAGGATCATGTATGGATTTCTAATTAGCTTCTGTTTTGGCTTGGAGTACTCGGTAAGTTTTATGCTTTAGCATCCTTGCATGCGTGTGAGTGACTACCATGATAGCATGCTCACCATGAGGCTAATTGCTTATGTGATATATCTGTCTGAATGCCTGTGGGCAAAGGTTGGGTTATTTGGATTGGAACAATTCGTCAAATGTGTGTTTTAAGCCCACTCGATAGTGGCAAAATCATGTTTTCTAAGCCCACCTGAGGGTGGCAAATCCACGTCCGAGGGAAAGTTTCAAGCATTTCCATGCGACGGGTGTGTCGAAGGCCTCTATTTCCCTCTATTTCGGATGCATTCCGTTGCCCAGATCGTCCGGAGTACACTTCGTTCTGTTAAGTTTTGTTTATCGAGTTGTTGTTTTGTTTATCGAGTTGTCGTTTTGCTTATCGAGTTGTTTGTCGAGCTGTCGTGTTTCGTGTTTTTGAGTTGTTACTCTTTGTTTATCGAAAATAGTTTTGAAAAGTTTTAATAAAAGTTGATTTTTCTCAAAAATTTACCCTTTTACAACTTGGATCATTTTGGGACCAATAGAAAAAATTTCAATACTCGCAACTTTAATTTTATTGATTTCAACATCTAGTACATTCTCCAACTCTTTGCTACAAGTTGAAGTTGCTTTTACATCATAAAAACGTGAAAAAAAAAGATCAAAGCAATAAAACTAAGGGCACATGAGTCAAGTGTTCCCACGTCCTCCGTTCGTACTGGCAGAAGTCCTTGCAACTAAAGTTGGTCCAGCTTGTGCCTCGTCCTCGAGCCAAGCCAAGCATTTGCCAGAAAGGGCATAACTGAAACTAGGGTCAGGGCCAGAAGCTCTCTCGTCCTCCAAGTAATGAGGTACCTAGCCAAGTGTGAAGCATGAATTGGGAATGAAACCGGGTATTCCACCCCCTCTTCTGGGCAAGTCTGATCATGCCTGAATTGGCATCT